CCACTCCCCACATTATCCTCTCCAGCAGGAGGGGGAGTGATCTTTTAGAGAGACCTACAGCAAACACCAGGATGATGCTGGCTCCTGGAACACCCCACTCTGGCTGCCAATCCCCCCTCCTTTGTTGGAGAGGGGTAAAAATGACAAATGGGGGCTTTATAATAAATAGAGTCCCGGTTTGTCACTTGTGGGTGCTTCAGTGAGAGGCCAGGCTCTGTGCTCCCGGCTGGACCCTCCCTGTGCCAGCCCCAGGTCCAGTCCCACCATCAGGGCAGGATGGGGAGGTCCTGGTCCTGCCCAGGACCCCGGATCCCTTGACCTGCTTCCTCTTAGAGCAGGTGAACCCTGGGAAAGCTGAGAGATGCCTTGGGGATGGTCGGAGAGGGAAAGATGCTGGCTCTTGTGATGAGTGTGTGTGCAGACAGGGCTGGAAGTCACTGCACGAATCAATCCCGAAGCTGCGAGGCGGATGTGGGATGACTTAAACCTGCCTCCATTCAAACCTGCTGCTCCAGCGTCACAACAAGACTTCATTAACAAAACATGATCCCAGCTCCTTTCCCTCCCCGTCCCTGCTGCAGAGCAACCTCACTGGCAGTGAGGGGTTCCCATTTGCACCAGCATCAGGCAGTGGAGGAGGATGTCTGTGATCTCCACAAAGGCATCAGCATCCTCTCCTCCTGGCTGATGGCTCCTGGGGTACAGCCCCAGTTCCACAGCCCCAGGCACTTCACGGGTCTCATCTGTGCTCCTCAGAAGTTCCCCTCTTCTTCCCACATAAACCAACCCCAGCTGGGTGCTTGTGGCTGGAGGGAGGTTCAGGGAGAATGGGATAAGGACGTTTTTGTGCTCGTGTGCGGTTACAAACCAGAAACACTGATTAATCCTTAATTCTATGCCCCACAAAAGCATCTCACAGTAGCAGGAGTCCATCCCGACCCCAAAGAGGCAGAGCTCCCTCCTGCTCCCAGTGTAGCACACTGGATTCCTGTGCAGGGAGCATCCTGCACAGAACTGAGCCCCATCTGCAGCTCTCCCTGCAATTTAGGCTAATGCAAGATCAGTCCTCGAGCAGCCAGAATGGTTTCTCTGCTACACTTTTAACGGAACGCTGCAGTTTTAAACCACAAATTAAATTTTTAATGAAACTTCATAACTGTTGTACCCAAATGTAATGTAATATTGATAGGAACTGTGCATCCAGCTAGCATGAGATTGCCCTAGAAAGCTTTTTAGGATGTTATGCAATATATAGTTAAATTAATTATTTGTAATGAAAGGATCTGTGTCCCTGTAGCATCACGGAGACCTACTAGTGCAAGGAGCACACTACTCCTTCTGAGTGGATGTAAATGTCAGGCAATTTAGAAGGAAAGCAACGTTTGAGATGGGAATGAGGAAAGAAAGGAAAGGAGAAATGGGGAACGTGAGAGAGAAGGAGAGAGGCAGGGAGAGATCTGCAAAGAAAGACTGCAGCAAAATGCAGCAAATTTCCTAACTCCGGTGCAAAGTGTTTGTCTGTTCCAGAAGGGAATAATCCACCTCCCCGGCTGTATTTGTACTAGCGACACACCATGCTCAAGCTGTTCTAATGACAGCTGTAGATTTCAGAAGGCGTTAAAACACCCGTTTTGCATATCCACTGTTCTGCAAACTCCACCACGGAGCAGCCCGGACACGTGTGCGGGTTCCGCGCATCCCGTCTGGCTGCACAAGGCAGAGGGCTCCCGAGAGGAACCGGCTCCCTCCTTGTGTGCTGCACAGGGCCAGTGGGGCTGGGTGCGAGCAGAGATCCTGCCCCTGCTGCACCCCCCTGGGGATTAAAACAGCCTCAGAGCCCTGCCATGTCCTGCCCGAGCGTGTTGGGATGGGGCTGTGCAGGCAGGGACTCGAGCGGATGATCCCTGTGGGAACCCCAGAGCTACCGGCTAGATGCACAAACAGGAGCTGGCTTCCTCACTCGGTGAAGTCTATCCATTACTGTTTCCCATCACAAAGCTGCCTCCATCCCATAATGGATCATATTGTTCCCACTCCACAGAACAGACTTAACTGCAGAATCAGCATTACCCCACAGGAGATGCTTTATGTACAGCAGGCTGCACAAATAGGAGAGAAAGCTTCCACTCCCTGCTCCCCTGAGCTCCAGCTCCCAGGATTAAAGAGATTTGTCCACTGGAAAAAACCCTGTCCTTTATGCGTTTGTAACTCCGCTGTTCCCACTGGAAGGCTGGCGCTGAGCAGATCCAACATCCACACGCTTTCACCACTGCCCTAGGAGCAGGGAGCAGGTCCCAAGGGAGCACCCAGCCTGCCCAAAGCCATACTGGGCTGTCACAAACACAAATGTGCCTGCTTGCTCCTGGGCAGAACGGAATCACCCCCAAGGGTCCCTCATAGCTGTGCTCGGTGCTTTCCACTCCCGAGCCATAACTCAGCCAGCTTTGGAGCGTGCCCCGGGAGAGGCACGGGAAGAGTTAAACCTCATTGGGGCTCCATTATTTCATTATGCCCGTGCAGCTCCTAAATCTGCAAAAGCAGTAACGGATCCTCCTGCATGATTCAGGGGTTCTGGGAAAGCTGAAATCTTGATCATATTTTCCAGCTCTTCCTTTGCATTAGGAGGCACAGAGGGGATTCTGCTTGTCTGCTGGGGTGCAGCTCTGTTGTTTCTCCCTGTCCAGGTATCCATGCGGTGCCCATCACCATAGCATCTGAGTGTTTATTCTATTGCACTTGTCACCTCGGCCCCATCTCAGTCTGATGTTCAGCGGGTGACAAAAGGTTCCCCGTTACATGGGTTCTGTGACAGGAGCAGCTCTGTCAGTCCCATGCAGATGTTCCCAGCAGCAGGCACAGACTCAGTGCCTCGGGCTGGCTCTCGCTGCTGGAGCTGTTGCCTGCAGTAACATTATTTGTGGCTTGTGTCCCTGGCTGTGGCAGAGGAATCAGCCCTGCAGTCCTCAGCCTCTGCCATCGCATCCCCTTTCAAAACCAACCCAACCCAACCCCAACCCCAAACCAGCACAGAGGGAGACTGCTCTGCCCGGTAAAACACACCCTGCCTGCCCCCTCAACTCCTCTCTGCTCCATTGCTGTCGCACTGGGATGCTGCATGGCAGAGTGCAAGCAGCAGCGAAGGTACCCAGGGCAATGAAGCCAAAGGTGTGAAATGCAGATTTTCAGGCAGGGTCTGCTGCTGTGGGGCACAGAGCACAAAGAGGAGCTCCCCTCAGGGCTGCTATGTGAGGCTCAACACTAGGAACCTTGGCAAGGCTCCGAACACCAAGTCTCTGTGTTCCCCATGAGCACTGGGATGGGTTTGGTGGAGGAGAGCAGCGGAAGCGCCACAGAATCCCAGCGGAGGAGCCACGGCTCTGGCACATCTCTGTAATTCTCAGCCACTCCTGTCCCAGTGCTGCGCTGTCTTCCCAGGCTGGGCATCAGTGGCTGTTCCCAGCCATGGCAGAGAACTGGGGGTCGTCACCCTTGTGTCCTGTCTGCTGTGCAGAGGGCAAGCTCACGCCTCAGGGTTTGGCCATGAAATGCTGCTTTAACCATAACCTGCAGAGCACTGATGATGAGGAAAGTGGCTTCCCAACAGCAGCGGAGTGCCTCAATGGCAAGGCAGGGTGCATCAACCTCCTGGGGCTGGAGGAACTCCCACAGCTGAAAACACATCCAACAGAGTCCCAGAGCCCCAGCTCTGATAGGAGAAAGGGGGAAGCGCCTCGGAGCAGTAGTACCACATCTCCTGCGGACCCACGGACCAGAAGCATTTGAACCTTACTGACCCACTTCACTAGCCAAAACTAACTGCTTCCTATTTCACAGGACAACTTGGTATTATATAAGTACTTTGCCCATGTGAACTGCTGCCGTGCAGGCCGGGTAGAGCAGGTAGTGAGCTGAGAGAGGAGCCAATTCCCATGTTTACCGGGCAGTCTGCTGGCTAAACATCCCAGGGACTGTGCATTTCCTAACGGGTGAGAAGACAAGGACAAAACCACCGGCAGGAACTCCTCAAGGAGCAGGGCCGCAGGGCCAGGGAGGTCTCACTTGTGCTCAGGTGCCTTGGCCAAGGGAAGGCTGCAAGGCACAGACACAGGGAGAAGCTACGCACTCACTTCTCCAGGACTGAAGTGGAACCGGCCTTGGAATTGGCCTTGGCTGAAGTGAAGACAAGAAAAGCTGCAGTGCTGGTGGCCATGAATGATTCCCACCAAGAACAGATCCAAATACTACCAGAGGTTGGTTCTGTGTCATTAAAAAGAAAGAAAAGCAGTGGTCACTCTCTGGTGCCCACCGCAGGCCTGGGCACCAACACCTCACCCCTGGGACACAGTGACCCGGGTCCTGGCTGCCCACCCGTGTTCACCCCATGGAGCCCCGGGGGGTCCTGCCGTGGGGCTGCCCTGCTGGGGAATGGGAGAGGACCAGGGGTGGTGCCCAGTGGGGAGAGCAGCACCCCCAGACCCGCACACTGCAGCACCCCCTCCGTGCACCCCTGCACAGGACACCGGCACGCACCCAGTCCCCACTGCACCATCTCTGCTCCGCGCTGCACTCGCGACCTCCCACGGCCCTGTGCACACCCGTGGATGCACGCAGACCCCACACACGCACTCCACACCCCCAACGCACGCACACACGCACACTGGTGCACGCTCCCATGCACACACGCATGCACACCCCCAATGCACGCACACTGGTGCACGCTCCCATGCACACACGCACTGCACACCCCCCCCGCACGCACACTGGTGCACGCTCCCATGCACACACCCACTGCACACTCCCCACGCACGCACACTCCCACGCACACCCACCCGCACCCGCGCTCGCTCCCCTGCACACTCGCTCCCTGCACGCTCCCTGCTCACACGCACTCACACACGCACATCCCCTCCCGCCGCGGGAGCGCTCCCTCCTCCCCGCCGGGCTCCACGCCTCGCTTCGTCACGGCGCGGCCCCGCCCGGGCGCTATAAGAGCGGGGCCCGGTGCCGCAGCGGGCCCGGCGGAGCGGAGCCATGGCCGCGGGGCTGCTCCTGCTCCCGCTGCTGCTGCCGGTGCTGCTTCCGCTCCCGCCGCCCGGCCGCGGGCAGGGCTTCGGCCAGACCCGCTTCGTGTGCACCTCGGTGCCGCTGGACGGGGACATGTGCGCTGCCGCCGCGCTGGGCACCGGCTCGGCCGAGGAGCTCAAGAGCACGGTGCTGCAGCTGCGGGAGACCGTGCTGCAGCAGAAGGAGACCATCATGAACCAGAAGGAGACGATCCGAGAGCTCACGGCCAAGCTGGGCCGGTGCGAGAGCCAGAGCGTGGTCGAGCCGCCGCCAGGCGACGGCAAGGGCAGGAAACCGTCGGTCTCCAAGAACACCATGGGCGATCTGTCACGGACACCCGCGGCCGAGACCCTCAGCCAGCTGGGACAGACGCTGCAGTCCCTCAAGACCAGGCTGGAGAACCTGGAGGTACGCGCTCCCCAGCGGGAGCCGCACCGGGCACCGGAGGAGCCGGGCACCGAGCGCCGCACCGGGCACCGCGAGCGGAGCCGGGAGGCGCCGGTTGGAGCGGAGCCGGGCACTGGTAGCCACACTGGGCACCGGGAATGCCGGGCACCGGGATAGCCGGGTACCGGGAAAGCCGGGCGCAGGGAGCCGCCGGTTGGAGCGGAGCCGGGCACTGGTAGCCACACTGGGCACCGGGATAGCCGGGCACCGGGAAAGCCGGGCGCAGGGAGCCGCACCGGGCGCTGGGAGCCGCCGGTCGGAGCGGATCCGTGCACCGGGAGCGGAGTCGGGAGCCGCGGGTCGGAGAGGAGCCGAGCACCGGGAGCGGAGCCGGGCACCGGGAGTGGAGCCGCCCCGGAGAACCTGGCACCGGGTGTCTCACTGAGCACCGGGAGCTGAGCCGGGCACCAAGAGAAGGGAGCGGAGCCGGGCACCAAGAGCCAGGAGCGGCAGCGGGGGCCGGGAGAGCCGGGCCGGGCAGTAACAGCCCTGTCCTGTGCTCGCCCCTTGCAGCAGTTCAGCAGGATGAACTCCTCCAGCCAGACCAACAACCTGAAGGACATCCTGCAGAACAAAATCGACGACCTGGAGAAGCAGGTTCTGTCCCGGGTGAACAGCCTGGAGGAGGGCAAGTTCAACCCCCGGAACGAGTCCGAGGAGCGCGGCAAGATCGAGAGCACCCTCACCTCGCTGCACCAGCGCATCAGCGACCTGGAGAAAGGTACCCGCTGCTCCGGAGCCCATCCCGGTCCCAGAGCCCCCCCCGGTCCCAAGCGCTGCCGGGTGGGATGCTGAGCTAGCCCATCCCGTTATCCCCCCCTGGAGCGGTCTCTTTCCCCCAGCTCCAGAGAGATGATTCCCACGGGCTCCACAGTGGGAGCCAGGGATGCTCCGGGCTCTGTCCAGTGCTGGGGATTAGGGAGCCGAGCAGCGCCTGAGGGATTTGCTCCTCGCTGCCATCTCAAGGCCATTGCATAACGGGGAGAGGGGTTAGGGAGGGAGTAGGACACCCCCAAAGCGGGCACAGAGGGGGTCCAGCCAGAGCCCACTTGTGCCTCCCTCCCTGCAGGCCAGAAGGACAACCGTCCCCCGGACAGGTTCCAGCTCACCTTCCCGCTGCGCACCAACTACATGTATGCCAAGGTGAAGAAGAGCCTGCCCGAGATGTACGCCTTCAGCGTCTGCATGTGGATAAAGTCCACGGCTTCCCCCGGCATGGGCACCCCCTTCTCCTACGCCGTGCCTGGGCAGGCGAACGAGCTGGTGCTCATTGAGTGGGGCAACAACCCCATGGAGATCCTCATCAACGACAAGGTACAGCCCCGGGGGGGGGGGGGGTGACGGGTGGGGGGCAGCACTGGGGATCCCCATGCACACCACCCTGACCCACCGCCCGCAGGTGGCCAAACTGCCCTTTGTCATCAACGATGGCAAGTGGCACCACATCTGTGTCACCTGGACCACGCGGGACGGCGTGTGGGAAGCCTACCAGGATGGCACGCAGACCGGCAGCGGTGAGAACCTGGCGCCCTACCACCCCATCAAACCCCAGGGGGTCCTGGTGCTGGGCCAGGAGCAGGTAAGGGGTTGGTTGGGGGGTGCCCCTGCTCCGCTGGGTGCACCCGAGGGGATGGACGGGGCGCTGGGTGCTGCCGGGTGATGTCCCCAATGGCGGTGGGTCCTTGCAGGACACGCTGGGCGGCGGGTTCGATGCCACGCAGGCCTTCGTGGGGGAGCTGGCCCACTTCAACGTGTGGGACAGGAAGCTGAGCCCGGGGGAGGTCTACAGCCTGGCCACCTGCAGCACCAAGGCGCAGGCGGGCAATGTCATCGCATGGGCCGAGGCCAACATCGACATCTACGGCGGGGCCACCAAGTGGACTTTTGAGGCCTGTCGCCAGCTCAACTAGAGCCACGGACGGGAGGAGCCTCCTCATCGGGTTCTTCTCTTCCTTTGGGTTTTGTTTGGTTGGGTTTTCCCTCCTCTTTTCGCGCTGAACCACCCGAGAACGAAGCCACCCCCCCCCATCCCTGGGAGCGGGGCTGCCCTGGCAGCAGGGCGCCCGCTCCCCCAGCCCCACGACCCCCGGTTTCTGTCTTGCCAACGTCCTTCAATGCCTGCGTGCCTTGGCCTGGCGCGGCTGCGCCCCCCCCCCCCGGGCCTGGTTCCCGCTTTGCTGCCTCCCCCCTGCACCAGGACACCCCTGCCCCGGGCACCGGCGCCTCCAAAGGCTGTGACCCCCCCACGGGGCTCCTCTCCCTCCCACCTGGAGCCCCCCAGCAGGGTGGTGCCCCCGGAGCCCGGTTCCACCCCCCCCCCCCGCTTGGTTGTGCTCCCTCCATGGAGCGCAGCAGCAGCCAAGGATGGGATGGGATGGGATGGGATGGGATGACCCCCCCCTCCCCAAGGGACACCGGGGTGTGAGCCCCACTGTGCCCCTCTCCCAGCACCACAGCCATAGCCCGGGCTGCGGTGGGCACCGGGACGGGGCCCCCCACACCGGCCCCGCTCCCTGACCTGCTGCACTCAGGTACATCCCCCCCCGGCCCCGCCGCCTGCAGCCCCCCGAGGCCTCCTCGTGCCGTAGCTGGTGACAAAGAGCCTTTACCCTGCCCTCGAGTCTGGCTCCCACTGAGATGTCTGAAGCCTTTCTGCTTTTGATAAACACGATGTTGTTTCTCTTACTGTAAAGGGAAGTTTATTACCAATAATTAAAAAAAAGGGTATTTTTATGAAGATAAAAAAAAATATTCCGGAAGGAAGCGGCTCCCTGAGGAAGCAGCACCTTGAGATTCTGCAGGACACACACACAAAAAGAGATAAAGAAGCCTATTTTGAAATACCAGAAGCGTTTTGTATGGTTTCCTTTTCTAAACCCCCTGTTTGTACTCCAGACCGCAGAAATCCCCCCCAGCCCCCCCTGCCCCCCGAGGGCTGCCCTGGGTGGCGGTGGAGGATGAGGCCGACAATTCCCACAGGGCTCCCACTCCAGAGATGCAGCAGGGAGATGCTGAGGGGCCGCATGGAGCCGGGCAAGGCCAAGGCCCTCCCCCTGGGCAGGAGCACAGAGCTGGGCCAGCCCCATGCCCCAGCTGATGAGCAGCGACCCCCCCACATCGAGAGACCTTCGACCAACTGTGGCTCAGGGCAGCGTGGTTTCAACTGTGCTCTTTTTAAATCCAACCCAAGACAAAGGGAAGAAAACCACCGTGAGTTCCTTTCGGTTCCTCCTCGGAGCCTGCTGGCGCCGGGGAAGCACCGAGCACAACGTGCTGAGAAGAACAAAGCACTGCAACGGTCCCGGCCGCAGCCCCCCGTGCGCTGGCTCTGCCACAACGACAAGGAAAGGGCGCGGCGTCAACGCGGTGTACATAGTGTATAGTAGGGGAGAGGATAAATGTCTCTTGATTTGTCATTATTCTGCTAACCAAAGCTGTACATTCTCCTATTCTGTGCTCTCTGTCCCCGTTGGGTTTTGAGTGGGTTACGACAGACACCTCCAGCCCGCAGCAGCCGTTCTGAAATGCACTGTTTCTACTGAGACTCATGCTTTTGCCATTTTACTGCCGAGATGACATGAATTGTTGACTTTATTTTTACACAATAAAGAGTGAAGAAAGACGCTGGGCTCTCATGTGTCAGCCGCCGCGCGGGAGCCCCTCTTGCACAGCATGGGTTTGCCTGCATGAAGCGGGATTTCTGCCCTTGGATCCCGCTCAGGCACTCCCTGAGCCTCAGCCATCCCTGCCAGGCTCCCTCCATCCCTGCAGCATCCCCCTGCATCCCTCCCTGATTCCCCCCCGCCCAAGCCACAGGCTCAGCTCCCCGGGGGTGTCTCACCAGGCTGGTGGCAGCGGGACAATGACACCCACAGTGCCCGGTGCCCATCACCCCGAAGGCTGTGGCACTGCTGCCACCCCCGGGATGAGCAGCTCCATCCCTGCAGGCAGGAACTGCTTCTCCTGGGCTCCAGCAGCAATTCCTGGAAGGCATCATCGCTCCCAAGGGCAGATCTGAGCGCAGGGGTGACACCGGGGCACTTGGCTCAGTGGCTGTGTGGCTGGAGGCCACCTGTGCCAGGGACATGGCAGCAGCCGCTGCTCCCTCTGTCCCTAAGGAACGTTCCCACTTGTTACACACCCACTGCAGGGCAGGCTTGGAGACAGATTGCTTTCAGCATAAAGACACAAGTAGGAAAACCATTATTGTCTCCTTAAAACCAGCCAGAAGCAATTCCCATCCCACTGCAGCTGGGAATGGGAGCTGTACGGGGCTGGTTCAACACTGCTGCCTTGGGCACCACACAGCCCTTGGTGACACCAACACTGCCATTCCTTCCTCTAAGAGCAGGACATGGTGACACAGCCCGGAGGGGGACAGTTGGCATTAAACAGCAGAGCCTGTGCTCGTTGCCAGCGAGTGTCAGCCCCTGGGGGCTGGCGAGGTCCCCATGGCTGCTTGTGCTGCAGCCTCTGCCAGCAGCATCCCTGACCCGCCGCCTCCTGCACCTCCAGCTGCAGGCAGCAGCCACCCCGACTCCCCTCTCCTTCAGCCAGCGCCTCTTTTCCTTAGGAGGATTTGCTCCTGCCGCTGCTCCAGGTCCTTTCCAGGCTGCCTCAAGCCACAGCCATCACAATGCAGCAAGGGAGGGAGGACGCTTCCAGGCAAGCTGCAGGTCTGGGGACCTGGGGGTCCTCTGCTGCCAGCCACAGGCAGGGGCAGATTCACAAGCGCTGTGCACCCGTGGCAGGGGACAGTCACCAGCAGGAATCCTCCAGGAGCAAGAGGGAAAGTGACAGATCCAGACTGGTTTAGGGCAAGTCACTGAGCGGCACCAGGGGCATGACCCAGGCCCATCAGCCTCCTGCGGGCAGTGGGGTGCAGATGGGCTGCTGGGGGAGGATGAGGAGCAACGCAAGGCAGGAGTCAAACAGGGGCGCGATGCCAGAGGACACAGAAGGGGTGCTGGAGACAATGGGGCAACCAAGAGTTTCCCATCCCCAGCTCGGGGCCACCCCCGGTACCAATACAAAACCATGCTCCCAGGAGAGAGGGGACAGAGCATCAGCTGGGGGCTGGTGCTGCGCGGCCATTTAAACGGCAATAAAACATTACACTAACAGGCTTTTTCCTTTCTGTTATTCCTGGTGGGAGCTGGGAACATCCCTATGAGTGAAGCGAAGCCGTCTCACTCCCCAGGGTGGGCGCAGCAGAGCGGGATGTGGGTGAGCTGGAGCAGCCAAGTCTGCATCAAGAGATGGATGCGAACAAACCTGCTCACCCCCAGACGCAGGGCACGGGACGAGGAGCGCAGGAGCCAGGGCTGGGAGGATTTCCCAGGCTGCGGAGGGGAAGCATCGCCCCCCTGCAGCACCAAGAGCGGGAGCCCCGGCCCTGCTGGATGCGGGGACAAAGCCAAGGCCTGCAGCCCCTTCCGCTCCCAGCGGCTCCCCGCTCGCCCCGAAGGCTGCTCCGGAGCCGTCACTGGCAGAGCATCGGCTCCACGCTCCTCTGCGGCGGTCCCGGGCACCCTTCCCAGCACAGCCAAGGAGGGGGCTTCCTCCAGCCAGCCCTGGCCGGGGCATCCCTGCAGCAGACCCGGAGATGCCGCTGCCGGTGCCCATGGGCAGGCGCAGCCTCTGCCCGAGCTGCGGCTCTGCTCTCGGGGGTCCTGGGAGCATCCCCCCGCCCCTCACATCGCCCTTGGCCGCTCGTGTCACAGCCCACAGGACTGGGATCCCCCTTGGCTGCCGCAGGCGCGGGTACCCCCTGCGAGCAGCGCCTCTGATGGGTGTTTCCTGACCCCGCGGCTCCCTCTGAAGAGGCGGCTCCCGAGGCAGGGATGCACCGGGCACCCCCAGCAGCGGGGAGATCCCGTCCTCTCCTTGCCGGGAGAGGGGCTGGAGCCCCCCTTCCCTTCCCGCCTCCTTCACAGCCTTCTCCCGGCTCCTCCTCCTGCGACTTTCCCAGCTGCCGCCGAGGGCCCCCTGCCAGAGCTGAGCCCGGTCCCTCCCTCCCTTCCCTCCATCCCCCATGGATAACGGCGGAGCAGGGGGCGCAGTGGGAGCCCGGACTCCACCAAGGAGTCGGGGGGCGGGGGATGCTCCCCTGGATGGGGATCCCAGGAGGGACGCCAGCCAGAGGGGAATAGCAAATGGTTTCCCACGGGAGGGTCCCTGCTCTGCCACGGGAGGGGCTGCCGGTGAGCGCGGAGCAAAGGGAAGGATGGATCTTCCAGAGCTGGTTAAAAACAGATGCAGCATCGCACTAATTATGCTGGGTAATTAGCATTTGTTTTCTGCTTAGCACAAATCTGCAGGGAGCCAAGCTGGACCCAAGGTATCTCATTTGGGCACAGGAGCTCATCCCATGGAGGAGGGATGAGCTGCAGCACTCCCAGCCCCGGCTGGCGCAGGGACCCCGCCAGCACAGCCCGGGGTCCCCTGGTTCCCTCTCCCACACTTCGCTCCCTGTCAGCCCATCTGCACCCAGGCTGTGAGCAACAGATGACAAGATCCACAGCGATGCTGGAAATTAGGTCAGCGATAGCCTGCAGCAGATTCCAACGTGTATCATCCTGGCAGGGCTCCGATGGAGACGCCACGGGGCACATTCACCCCCAGCCCGGCTGCAGAGAGGGATGCAAAGGCCTGGACCGCCCCTGCAGCGCTTCCTGCTGCGTTCTCCCTCCCCACATCACCCCCGCGTTGTTGTCATGAGCACACATGAGCTCAGTGGAGGCACCCAGGGTTGGAGCCCCAGCACAGCCCCGCTGGCTCCCACTGATGCCAGGGGTGCCGAGCTGACAGATCCCCTGGGATCAGCCAGGGATGCCCCCAGCAGCAGCAGAGCTCTCTGGAGCCAGAGGTGCCCACAGCTCCTTGCATTGCCCTTGGCCGCCCTGGGTGCAAATCCTCATCCCTAACCATCCCTTAGCCACAGAGCCATTGTACACCAGACATTCAGGACCCTTCCCAAAGGCTGGAATGGGGGCACCATCCCTTACATGCTCCCAACTGCAGCTCTGCCCTCCCTCACCCAACTGCTTGTGCCATGTAGGGAGCAGCTTCAGCCTCCCCAGCTGCTTCCCTTGCTCCAGCCACACGC